GCTTGAAAGAACGGAGCAATTTAGCCTCGCCAAAGCCGTCGGTAAAAGTTAAAAAACACATTTCGTTTCCAAAATACATTTTGGGACAAATCTTTTTTTAAAAAATCATAACTCGAATAGTATTACAGAAAATAACATGAAATAACCGTTATTATGAACATAAAGGTTGAAAGTTTTATCTAAAAAATGTAACATATTATATTGCACTTTTGAAATTGTTATAATTAATATTTTAATAAACGCTTATGGTAGATAAGGTCATGAAAGAAGTTCTCTTTGTGAAAAATGTGTTTTCAGACTACAACTTGTGCCATGTCATGTAAAAACATCTTGGAATAAAATGGTCGATGGACTGTGAAAGTTCAATTTTACGGACTTATAATAGATTGAGTATCAAAATTTTGTTTTTCAGTGTTCTAATACTTTTTTGAGGTCCAAGTCAGGAATACAGGAATAAATTTATTTACTAAATTACTTTTATTTAGTACGAGCGTCCATCAGAAAGTGACTATCGCCTTTTCTCACGCTGCGATGCGCAACACGTGATCACGGACCGTAAGGACAGAGTCTACTGTGCCTAAGACCAGGGCTCGGAATTAAGTGCACGCAAAATGTCGAGGACTACGCCTCTTGACCCCCGCCGTANATTTTTCATAGAGGTCTAGTGATTTAAGTTTAAAATTACTTAAAATATAAAAAAATATAATATAAATGCATTTTATTTTTACAATAATGCCAAACCTTTAAAATGACTAGATTAACTTAAATAAATATCCATTGTTAGTATAAAATTGACGCCTTAGAAAAGCATGCGCCTCTGAAGCGTATGGTTATCTTTTACGTACGTTGTCATATGGTTATATTTCTAGGGTTAAGACGACATTTGGGATGACAGGGTGTGGGGCGAAATATAAAATATTAGCTTCGGGAATTTACTAGTTTTTGAGATCTTAATAAAAACCCTACGCTACTACGGTAGTGGAGTCGATTACAAACGAAAGACACATCAATTGATCACCCCGCAGTAATCGGCTCCAGTAAGCTTGATTTCGGGGATTTCAGAAATATGTAATATTGTTGAATGTAAGAATTGTTAGAGTGGATCGATCGTTTCGCTCGCTCGAAAAATAAACTGACCCAGACCAATTGCACTAACTAGCAAATTTGAAAATTACACGCTATAGAAATTGAAGTTGATGCCACTCCTATTTTATCGACTGCTCAATTTGAGATGACGGGCGACTGGTGACGCCTCGTGGTAGGCAAAACAGCTGTTTATATTTGCGGATGCAATATTTGCGGATTTCGTTCAATTTATTTCAAATACGAAATATTCAGGAGAAAATTTGTAATTACTCCGCTTGAAAGAACGGAGCAATTTAGCCTCGCCAAAGCCGTCGGTAAAAGTTAAAAAACACATTTCGTTTCCAAAATACATTTTGGGACAAATCTTTTTTTAAAAAATCATAACTCGAATAGTATTACAGAAAATAACATGAAATAACCGTTATTATGAACATAAAGGTTGAAAGTTTTATCTAAAAAATGTAACATATTATATTGCACTTTTGAAATTGTTATAATTAATATTTTAATAAACGCTTATGGTAGATAAGGTCATGAAAGAAGTTCTCTTTGTGAAAAATGTGTTTTCAGACTACAACTTGTGCCATGTCATGTAAAAACATCTTGGAATAAAATGGTCGATGGACTGTGAAAGTTCAATTTTACGGACTTATAATAGATTGAGTATCAAAATTTTGTTTTTCAGTGTTCTAATACTTTTTTGAGGTCCAAGTCAGGAATACAGGAATAAATTTATTTACTAAATTACTTTTATTTAGTACGAGCGTCCATCAGAAAGTGACTATCGCCTTTTCTCACGCTGCGATGCGCAACACGTGATCACGGACCGTAAGGACAGAGTCTACTGTGCCTAAGACCAGGGCTCGGAATTAAGTGCACGCAAAATGTCGAGGACTACGCCTCTTGACCCCCGCCGTAGGGTTTCGCTCCCCCGAGGCTGGTCCGGTAGAATTCCAGTTAGATGGCAACCTTAGTCAAAACTGATAAAAAAATGAAATGAATGATGATCGAAATGAAGGAGTATCGTTGATATCGACAGCTATCCTCGAAATTTCGCCAATTGATGTAACATACATAATGCATCTCTCATTAAAATACAGCCCACCAATATGCAGACTATCTCCGAAATTATGATACGACCGTCCGAGTGACAATTCTGTATGTAGAAATTAGTCGAAAGAAAATACATAATGAGATCTTCAAAAAAATGACTTGACATGACTGTGAGTATTTATATCCTAAAGTTAGACACTACACTTTGGTGTATTTATATCCTATGTATTTTTAAAAATTACTTTTCACTTTACTTGTACATATTACAAATTTCAGAAAATTTCCGTTTATTATTGATAAAAGAGAGCACTGTGACAAAAAAAGAAAATTTATTCACACGACATTATTCAATTCCATTTATTTACATTATAATAATCATTCGAAAGTAAGAATTAAGTCGCTTATACAAGATGTTCCTTTTGAAGTAGATCATTAAATAAATAATCAAAAATAATATAATAATATAAACATAAATAATAGGTGTCAGTATGCAAGAAATGACAATGTGGCGGCTGCTCTTCCCGCTGGCAACCGATCTGCCTTCAATTCCTATATATACAGACTTCGTCCTTCCTACCGACACCCCCACGTCTAAGGTAAGGGCCCGCTACTAGGATAGTCTTACTGATGAGTCCTCTAGCGAGTCCCGGACGAAACGTCTCCCCTCTCCTCAACCAAACATTCACACTTTCAACCGTCGCCAAACTGGCGCAAAATCCCTATTACCCGGTTCAGCGACCAATCATTAGCACGAGGCAGCACGCTATCCATAGACTTACTGCACTTAAAAATCCTATCGTACCTATGGGAGCGTATATGCTCGTTGGTGAACCGTGGGAACCACCCCGGGAATTTTCCGCCAGTTTGGCGGCGGTTGAGGGTATCGGTAGGAAAGCGAAGTCTGTATATATAGGAATCGAGGCGGTCAGTGCTAGCGGGAAGAGGAGCCATCTGCTGGCGGGTCTTGAGGTAGCCGCCACAACACATCCATCAAACCTAGGAAAAAATGATCTTGAAAGAAAAACCCATCAATATCTCTACCCTTGAACCAAACAAATTTGTTACGACACACTTTTGCATATAAACAAAATTAACGAAGATATTTGAATGTGCAGGATAAAAGAAACACCTTATATAAAAAATACAATGCAGTGTTCAGATGGTTAAGGAAACAGACAGAGTCAATGACAAAATGTTTTCAAAGGTAGAAATTATAAAATGTATGTCCTTGCATGCTGAGTACTTGCTTACGAAACAAAATAAACATGTTTACTTTGTATGTAACTGCAGTTACAATTTTAATTTATATGTTACACTATAGATGAAATATGTACGCACTGTTTTTCCAAATTTGTTCGTAGTCTATTCTTACTTTATGTATTTATCACCCTCTACATGTTATTAAACGTCCCTCGATTTTCCAAAAGAAAGGAGCATGAAAGTCCGTTACGTTCGCTTACCTGAGCACACCAGTTTTTTGAAAAAATAGAATCTTTAAATCATAAATAGACGATTCATTTAATTAATTGCTATTTAATAATAAATTCGTCTTTCTCGAAAATGAACTACCATGATTTCGAGAATACCCTGCCGGGGATATAATTCTTCACTCTCTCTCTCTCTCTCTCTCTCAAGCATTTCCTTGTAATGCTGATGTACGCTCCGAAACAATCCGATTTCGTAGTTGAAATTAGCTACTTATATGTATAGAGATCTTTCGAGATTTTCGCCAAGATAAGAAAAATGACGTCGTACAGCGTGGTCGTTAATACAGCATAGCCGTAGTATTTGCAGAAATATGTAACAGATCGAAACGAGAAACTGCAATCTATTTCAAGACAATCTAAACAGACGACAATATTCATAAATTGATTAATTTTTATTTTTGTTTTAAAATCCATATACTCATTTTCGCAAATGCATAAAATGCATTAAATCTACACGCATAAGAGTCCACATTCGCATTCGGACCACAATGGTCCAGTCTGATGAAGTTAGTAGCTCATTTATTAAAAAATCAATTTAATTGTATTGCCTATTATCAAATGTATGTTATTTTATAAATATTGATAATTTCCGTGAACGGTAAAATTAATCAAATTTATCCAAAATTGTGATAGGCTTGTGGTGATAATGATAACCATTTTGTAGGTACCATTTTTCTACCACAGAATTGTTTACTATGTATACACATATTCGGCAAATATGCATGAAAATGCTTCAATATTCATTACGTACAGTACACATAGCATAGGTTAATGCGCTAAACTCTATTCACGCTATCTATATCGTTACTGAAACAACAAAATTTGATCGATGGCCCAAAAAAGAAAAGGCGAGTATTGATATTTAAGAAGTTCTCTTTTAGAAAATTGGTCTTTTTAATATTTATACAAATAAATACTTTCAGAAAATAAAAATGTATTTCCATTCCATACAATTCATTCTTATAGAGGGTGAAACGAGGTTTCAAGGTTTATCGAGGTTTTTTGAAACGAAACACCTGAATAACTCGCTTATTAACAACTTTTGTCTGACACTTTTTTTTTCTATTATCAAAAACAAGCGAATTATTCAGGTATCTCGTTTCAAATGCCTCACCCTGTATACCTACAAATCAAACTCTGAAACTTCATCTGGAAGCATATTTCACACAGAAGCGCAATTAATTGGGCTTGCCGCAAGTCAAGGGTTATGGACATCGCTCCTGCGGGAGTTTACCTTCATTTGCGACTTTTAATCGAATCTTTCGACGGCAAACGAGATGCGGATATCCGGTCGACGAAGGAGTAAGGGGTAAGGACAGGTGTGCAAGAGAGAAGGAGGAAGAGCGTTGGATTTCGCGCATGGTTTTCCACATCGAGTAGGGTGGCTATACGCAGCGCGGCGATGTCACCGGTTGTTAGAGACTGCGTGTAGTCGCCGGAGTGAGGGTGGTTTCATCCGGACCTTATATAAAGGGAAGAAAACTTTGTGACGTCGCCACTAGCTTTGATTGATGCATGCGGTCCGCTTGTCGCATCGATGCCGAAGACGGTGAAAGAAGACGTGTGAACGCAGAAGAGGAACGAGAAAGATCGAGATTTTCCCGATAATCACGAGTGTCGGTAGCGCGCAGCCACGTGGCGGTTCGGACCGGTGATACCGGAAGTGTGTTGCGCGCTAGAAACGTTACTACTGGTCAATTCGGTTAAAACAATGGCATTCAATAACAGTACTCTGGTTCCGGACTATATTAACGAAGATTATGTCCATCCGGCGGTGTACATCGGCGCCTCGGTCGCGCTCGCCTTCATCGGCTTCTTCGGCTTTATCATGAACCTGTTGGTCGTGGTGGTGATCGTCAAAGACGCGCAGACACTCTGGACACCCGTCAATGTAATCTTAGTCAACCTGGTGGTGAGTAATCAGATTTTCATATTGGAACATTCTACCGGAATTAACTGGCAGAGGACGTGCTATAGTCTGCGATTGTAGGATCGTTAAATGATCGTAGGTTAAGATGAGATTTTAAACAGTTAAGAAACTAACGCTGTCTAAAAGCAGAAAACACTGGCTAGAATAAATAACACCACGTGGCTTAGTCTTTAAAGTTGTTCAACATTCAAGCGACTGAGTCATTTAGCGGACCAATCAGAACGATTACACGCGAACGACAGCGAAGGAACTATGTTTGTCGTAATCGAAGCTTCGCTCGTAAACTTTGACTATCGCGTGCGTATTGTTAGATCCATTAACGCTTCCTGGAGTATATTTCTTATTTGAAATAGGAGATAGAACTATCATATACTGCGTAGCTATGTACTTTACTTTATGCTCTATAAAAAATATCGAAAAAAGCATGTGATGGATAAAAATATAACTCCCATGTGAACACTTTTGCCTTCTAATTATTTAATATAATGAAGGTTTAATTATAATTAAAATGTAAGTGAAACTGAATGTGCAAGTTTCATCATGCCGTTATAGAAATTATTATTAATTAATATTAATTAGACCGTTTGTTCCCTATGGGACATTCCAAAACAGACAAAGAAACGTGAGAATTTTAGTCGTTTTAAATTTTTTAATTATTCTTCGGCATCGATACTATTACTACCTCTCCACATAAATAAACTATGTAAGACGTATCGGATAAAATATTACAATGCTGATCAAAGTTGTTCACTGGTCAATGTTTACAATACTATAGATTTATAATTTCATGAAAGAGATGATTCGTTACTGTATTTTCTGCTAATGAATTGCGTATATACAAATTCTGTATTCCAGATCACAAACGTGTTGAATAATTACATTATGGCGTGTTATCTTCGTATCTTCTAATTACATCCTCCTCGAGCGGTTGTTTAATTTTTAATTAAATAATGCAATTTAATAATGCAAGCGAATATAACAAAAAGTGGTATATCATATTGAGTTAACAGTATGTTTACATTGTTGCATAATATTCTATTTTTTCTATGCACAATCGCAGTTATTGTATCGTCAAAATTTCAGAAGTTATAAGTCGAATAACAAGCGTACGTTTTCTTAAACGTATAAGAGCCACTTCACGTGAGCTTGTTTCGAGCTGCATCATCAATATTTCGGCCACTTATGATTTCGATATTGTTAGAATCAGCTACTTGTGATATTGTAGCTCGAAAATGGTTTATGTCAGTTGGCTCTAATATCTAGAAGAAAAATTACAAACACAGCAGGATCACCACCGACACATAACCAATTGTATATATATTTTGAGTACATTATTTTGTTTTCTTATTGAATTTGTAGTCAGCTTTCTCAAAAAGATACCTAAAATTGTAATAGACAACAATTATCTTTTTTTGAAAAATAATCTATAATGTTTTAAAGAATAATAATTAATTTTAACGAGCAATTAATTCCAAGAACGAATCAGATATTTTAATTGTATATTTCCGATTTTACATGAATTAATGAATAACAACAGTTACGATGCAGTTCAATTTATTTACTGAATATAATATAATAATAATAATAAGAATGATAATATAAGAAAAATGAAAGGTATTATCATTAATATCGGAATAAATTTGTAATATACCTTTAGCCAGGGAGGTGATATGCGGTATTTCACAAAATGCTGCTCATGCTTTGCCAGTGCATTATTAGAAAGAAATGCTTCAAGAAATGTTACAGCTTTGGAGATATTACAGCAAATAAGTACTACCCATTTCAATTCCATACAAATTTGAAATATGCGGATATTTATGAATTTATATTAAATATCAATCAAACGACAAATGTTGTACAATATCAAGTAAAACTTTGTAAGCATTATAATATCTTTACATCAGTGATAATGTACCAAAACTATTGTCGTAAAAAATTAATTTTTGTTTGCCCGTGGTGTTTGTAAATTCCGCAAAGCAAACTTTACTTCGCCTATGTATCAGCAGTCAAATATTGAATAATTTAAGTTGGATGAAAAACAATTTCTCTTTGTATTCTGTGCAGTTCGGCGATTTGTTAGTGGCTGCTCTCGGGAATCCGGTCGCTATGGTTTCCGCAATGACTGGAGGATGGTACTGGAGCTACAAAGTGTGTCTATGGTATAACTTATTGTTTATTAATTGAAATTGCACGGGACTACTCTGAGAAGGTATTGTAGCCTGCCTCTCGTCGATTTCCTTTCATCCCGAACAAGCACATTGTCTCTGTACAGTATAATCATATTTTAAAATTATTATTTACATCATAATACGCAATTCTATATTTTCGGCCTCACAGCAAAAGAAAGGGTTTTACTAATGTAACCAACACCCGTTTACTCTTCTAATTTATACGTTTTACTCATTCCATCATCTCCGAAAGGATGGATTCTCATGATAACTCCATTTTACATTCTAATTTGTGCGACCATGTGTCGATTAATAAACTGAGTGAACTGTGATCAGCACAACGGCAAATTGTATTTTCAACGCTACACGATTTCGAATTGCGGCTGTAGTAAAAATTGGCAGGTTATTATGCAGCAGAAGTTGTTGCACGCGAATTGACGAAATTTCGAACCTCGCTGTCGCCGCCAAATAACGATTAAAAATTAACGCTTGTTCTCAGCTTCGAAATTAATAGAAATCGTGAGTTTTTAAATTAGTAATATAACTCTAAAAATAATTTGTTTCTTTATATTTTGTGTGTTGTACATTCGTCGTCATTTCTTCTATTACTCTTTTTAAATTCCGTTCTAATCTTTTCCTTTTCAGTAGAAAATTAATATAATACTGAAACGTTAATTTAAATTTTCTGGAATATTAAAAACGATATACATTTCACCTTTGTGGACTGTTTTGGTCCAAAACTAGTCTTTCACAAAAATTTCATCAAAACTGCTATATTTGAGGTCGATAAAATTCCTTGTCTAGCGAATCGAGTTTTGTCAACTCGAAATTATTTGAGAAGCGCGAGAATGGTCGGCGTTTCGATCGCAGACCACCGATTGTCGGCAACGATGCAATTATCATGCAAGTGTACGGGTTCATGCGGTTTCGATTACTGATTACGATTGAAACTACATCATTGAAACAAAACCCTTTCGATCGAACGATTCCGTTACTCAAATGTAAAAACCTGACGCATCTTCAATTTCCGTTCAGTTCATTACTGTGCCACGCCAATTAATCTCGCCCCATGCCACATTTTTCCCTGTTCCTTCTCATTACAATCGACTCATTCGTCACACTTTCTCCGTTGGCTTTTTCTTTTCATTGTGGTCAACGAAATCTTGCCCTTCTCCATATTCTAAATCTTTAGAAATTTTCAAATACGATCTATAATTCGTCCTCTAAATCTTCTCAACATTTATTCTGTATGACAATAACTAATTGTTTAATGCGTACAAAAAACTAGATGTGCAAATTAATACATAGCATTCTCTCGGCGTATCTGTTGTTTATTTATAAACAATCGAAACGGGCACAAAAATTTAAAAATGAGGTAAAATTAGCTACCATCAAAGAAGCTATCATCTCTTTCAGTTCGGCAGTGACTTTCTTTTTTTATTGTCAACGCTGGGATAGTACAAAATTAATAATTAATCAATAGGTGCTGTAATAACATTACAAACAGAATCGAAGAGTCAATTTTAGTTTTCCAGTATTAATCTATGTATGACAAAATATACTATTTCAGTAAACGTTATTCAATTTGACATGAGCTATCGCGATAACGAAAAAGTAATATTCCACAGGCCGGTTTTTATCAGCGTGTGTCTGATTTCTCGTATGAAGGTGCAATATGACGTAACCAAGGTAACAAATGAATTCGCGCGAGACATAAAAACCTATTGCGCCTTAATACGTGAATTCCATTGAGGCCGATACACCATGATTTCCTATGAGAATTTTGCACATATTGCCCGGACTCTCTTGACTTGGTCTTGGTTGAATGATATTCTATTTTAAACGAACGCGATCACAATGAAGTTAATTCACACCCCCGACTTGATCGGCTGAAACTCGGGGCCTGTGGAATATTAAACTGAATAGAAAATTCGTATCTGCTTGTGTTAAATTAATGCAAGACTCTCGACCTGGAACGAGTTCCATTTAAAACAACACCAAGTAAAATGTTACAATCTTTTAATATGCAAGACTAATTTTTCTATGCCAACTCGTTGGATTTTCATTTTACATGCAGTTTTGGTTGTAAAATTTAAAGAGACCGTAAATTGTAAAATTAACTCAAACATGATCTTCTAAAAACTCAAAAGCGATATTGAGTCTTAGATAGAAATGAAATTGTCGATTTTTGGATTCTTTCGAAGGTACGCCTGCTTTATGTCCACCTTGGGATTCGCCAGTATAGGGAACCTGACTGTGATGGCTGTGGAAAGGTGGCTACTGGTCGTCAAACCGACGAAAGTCTTATCCATCCGGTAAATAACGTTTGATTTCTTCTTATCCGGTCCTCGAGCCACGTTTCGAAAGGGATTCGGCTCTCTTTTCGAGAAACCGCGGCTCTCAACCGACTGGAATTGTGGGTCAGGTCAAGCGAGCAGTCCGGTTCCGCTCCAAAAAGTACCGGCCATTGTCGCCACACGTGTTCAACGCCACGTGCGTGAATCAACCATGGCGTCTTGCTCTAAGTGCCAAGATTTTATTTCAAAGCAAACACGGAATTTCACAATATCTAATAATATTTAGTTGCAGATATGGTATTAGAAATGAATAATAATCTGAAAATAATAATAATAAATAATAAATAATAATAATAAAAATTATTAATTAATATATATATATATATTAATACATACAATTAATTATATTATTTACATAATTATTATAATATAATATAATTTAATTAATATAATAATATAATATAATTATTTATATATATAATTAATTAATTAAATAATAAATATATAACTAATTATTAAATATAATAATAAAAATTATTAATAAGAATAATAAGAATAAGAATAAGAATAATAATAATAATTTGAAAATAATGAAAGAACGCTACGAGATAACTCGTAGCTGGTGTCACTGAATAAAATTCCTGTGCTGAGTGCTGGCTACGAGATATCTCATAGTCGGCAATGAATGAATCGATACGTGATTCTTCTTGTGGGCAGCTAACAATTATCCACGGTGTTTTCTTCACGTGTGAATAATTTTAATTATATCGCGGACGAGATTTCACGGGGCTTTCTTATCATTGCACAGAAATTTTCACGTTACCACTTATTGGACCAACCAATGGACACAATTTTTCGTTCGCTATAAAGTAATAGAAAGTGCCATAATTACCGGGAGTACAGCTGTGTATATTGCTATGCTGAGGAGGAACAAAAAAGAGGACAAAAGACGAATATTTTTGCATATATATAATATATAATTAATACTGGAATAAATTTCATATTTTCGTCTCCTTCGTCAACCTGCTTTTAATAGAACAGCGATCATACTTGGCTTCCTTGTCTGGATCTACGCGCTTTGCCTCTCCTTGCCTCCGCTGGTCGGCTGGGGAAGCTACGGACCGGAAGCAGGAAATGTATCCTGTAGTGTATCATGGGAAGTTCACGATGAAGTTACGCGAAGTGGCAGTTACATTGGCTATATCTTTACTGTCGGCCTTGTGATTCCCGTAATAATCATCAGCGCTAGTTACCTGGCGATCATAGCAAAGTTAAGGAAAGTGAGAAAAAGGGCAGGTAATCTATTTATACTTTCTTCTCGTGCATTTTTTTACTCCTCCATTTCGCCCCTTAATCGAATCTCATTTTTCTTACTTACTTCTTGAAACAAGACTAATTTTTAATTTCGTGACTGTCACAGGAAACGTTGCATGTCACAATTCCAAATTTCAATCTATGCATTCATTGGATTGAACTTTTGAATAATAAGCATAAATAACTATTTAACAGAAATCTAGTATTCAATTATAATTTTACATGATAATTTCGCAAATGATGGCGGTACTTGGAATTCGACGGTGAATGTTTAAAATGATAACATCTCGAAAGTGAACGCACCAGCCATGTATCGTTTCCCTTCACAACCACAGAATCATTATGCTTAACTTAAATGTATCTCTCTTTGTTAGCATCGTGTAAAAGTTAGATAATATTAACCAAATGTTTTCTTTAACTATCTACGATCCAGTAGTATTTGATTAACACGTTCTTAGAATTAATTACACACAGAATAAGAATCCACGGTGCAAAAATAATTGGTGTAAAAGGCGTGCAATCATCTCTAACAAGTTCTTTAATTAGCATTCGCTTTCATTATTTTACAACGTCCACTTGATATTGTTACAACAAACATGCAAAAGTCCATGTCAAATGTTAAATAACTTCGAGAACAAATGTTCCACCGGATTGTTTCAAAGAGACCTTTGAATTTGATAAGAAAAGCAGCACAGAAGTGGTCATTAAATTTCTTTACACCCGATACAATATCAATTTCCGCAATTTCACCGGAGAAGTAGTAAAAACAGAATCGGCTCAAAAGTACCGCTTTTTCCGTTTACAAAAACCGTCGCGATCCAGCTGCCCTTTTTATACTTTTTCGACCGATTCTTCCGATAGGACGCGAATGCGATGCCTCTGTGTCATGGGTTTCCGCGACAAATATCGGTTTTATAATTCAGGTGCACGCGGAAGGCGAGAAGCGAAAATTACAAAAATGATCGCGTTGATGATAATAGCCTTCCTGGTTGCTTGGTTACCCTACGCGACTTTGGCTCTCGCCGCTCAGTATTTCGACGTAAGTACATACCTGGATAAGTGTAGCAGCCGGAACAGATATAGCGAACTTATATAAACAATGAACTATAAGGGGATAATGTGCTTGTCTATTGGAGCTTTATAGTGTAGAATGGTCCGCTTAATGCTAGACGACTGGTTAGCATAAAGATTATTCATTAGACTTCTTCTTTGACTTTCTGCAAAATTTCCCTCTCACCACGCAACGCGACTCGATTACTTCATTACGTGATTCTCTCCCAATAGTTCGGTATACGGGGTTGTAGGGAAATATATATATTCAAGGTGTCCCAAAAATGTTTGAATCAAATGAAATGGCTAATTTCTGGGATCATTTGAAAACACTTTCTCCTGAGCGAAAATATCCTCCGCGGCTCTACTAACGATTTATTAACGAAAAATAGTGATCAAACAGAAAGCGAGTACGGCCTACGAAATTTTATTGGACCAGAGAGGACCAGAGAGGATTGGTTCCTGTTTTTCATTAACCCGAGAAAGATAACCTACGTCGCAGAGGCGCCTGCGAAGACTGTTGATTTTTGTTAATTTTTCATAGAGGTCTAGTGATTTAAGTTTAAAATTACTTAAAATATAAAAAAATATAATATAAATGCATTTTATTTTTACAATAATGCCAAACCTTTAAAATGACTAGATTAACTTAAATAAATATCCATTGTTAGTATAAAATTGACGCCTTAGAAAAGCATGCGCCTCTGAAGCGTATGGTTATCTTTTACGTACGTTGTCATATGGTTATCTTTCTAGGGTTAATAACTCGTTCACAAAACCACAGAGGATATTTTCGCCAAGAAAAAGTGTCTTCAAATGACCTCAGGAATTTATTTGATTCGGGCATTTTTGGGACATCCGATATTTCCACGAAATTAATTATCTATATGAATTCCTCTCGATACGTGGAGAGCATAACAAATGAACAACACACAGTTGCTTCTTCGCACACTACTTCTCTCTACAATAAAAGATGTGCATCATTTTTTACGTGTATGAACAAACTGTTGATGATGATTGACGATGAACGCGAGAATGTGAACCATTGGCAAGCGAACTATTAGAATTATCCAAAAACATCCATATTTAACACTGTTTACTATAAAAATTAGTCATGGTTTAAGCTCGCGTTGTACCTAAATCACTGTCCTATTATTCGAACGTTTCAGTACAACGTACAACAGTACGCTTCAGCAACTATCACTTTCTCATCATGAATGACAAGGAGAATGTTATAAATGCGGCTCGTCATCCACAATATTTCCTTCTTTCATTCTATGAAACATTTCTATTTACAATGGCATAAAAACCGACCGCCTTAACTGGAATAATATCAACAAATTTTTATGTACTGTGTATATAAAATATAACGGTTGCAATTATGTTTTAGTACTTCTCGTTTCGAAGATGTAAAAGGAAATTCACATTTGTAGCGGGATGACCTGGCACATTATTCTAGTCGACAATTAATTGTTCTCTCGAATGGAATGATGAAAGCAAAGTGAATGCACTTGGTGGATAGATGGTCGTATCAAATTTTTATAAGTGTCGTGAGCTTATGATCAAGTACAGGGTGCTTAAAATAATAAAATTGAAGATGTACAAACGTATTATACCATTTATTGTTAAATCACGTAAAGTATATTTTATATTCGTATTTTATATTCGTACCTGCTTCCATAAATCAATCTAGGAATGTCAAATTGTACTTTCTTAACTATTAATATTATTATTCTATACGGTAGTTTTTTTTGCATACCACTCCACTAAATTTTACGATATTGACGTTTCGAAAACATGCCGAGCAATATGAATTCGACATATATCAATTTTTTAAATATTTGTTAATATTTTGACTGTGCAAACAACTGCAACCTCGTAATCAAATCGAAACTTTTTTCGTGTATTCTACTAAGATTATTTTTAATTCGTTTCATAATTAATTTCAAGGAATTAAGAGATAATGAATGGATTTAATTTCTGACTTTTCCTTATGACACTCCATATTAATTAATAAGTAATAACCCTTTCCAGTGGCCAATAATCTTCATTGACGAGAAAAAGTGAATTTGCATAGCATAATAAGGCTAAAAGTACTGGGTACATCCGCGAATTTCAAGTCGTTGCCAATATAGCAAAGGTACTGTAATGTTAAATTACGTTCATTGACGATCGTATAAGAAGTACATTGACTATCACGTCAAGCATACCTATACACATTAATGACACTATCCCTTGACCAGGTTTTAAGAACCAATTGTTATCGCGATATGTTCGACTAACGTATATTTAATGAAAATTTGTAGGATATTAAAGGATTAATGGAGCATCCTACTTTCTATTACCGTTAACTAAATTATTCTGACTTTGTGGAAATCTTATTTTCAAAAGAACTATTAGAAAACCGCCGGTACACGACGCGTTAAAAAAAAAAAGCATAACACCGGTACTTTGGCGCGACCTGTAAAGTGAGTACGTCGACGTGTATTGGTACCTACGTCATTAGTATCTCTGCCTGGCGTGGCGTTCCACGAAAATGAAATTTCTTTTAGTGGTTCTGAGAAAGCAATTCCGAGGCGGATTTAAATTAGACGCAGAAAGAAACAAGCTCAAGCGTTGAGCGCGAAACAAGTAGCCTGAGACGACTCGGTACGTCTGCACGCTACAAGTGTTTTAATCGAATGTGCGTCCTGGTGAAAGTGAAAGTATTGTTATAAATTCCCTATTACCACCAAATGCCATTAACACAGCCGATGGTGCGATCGATGCGATCGATGCGACGACGTACCTCGTGTACCGTTTAGCAGGGGTTGTACACTAATTATAAACTAGAGTTCTACTTTATAGAATACTATCACTGACGGTGTTCCTTGCATCGATCCACAGGTAAAACCATCAGCGTCCTTGGCCGTGCTACCAGCTCTGCTAGCGAAATCCTCTATTTGCTATAACCCGATCATCTATGTGGGTTTAAACAACCAATTTTCACGATCATTAAAGAAGATATTCGACATACGGATCACGAGAAATAGGGTACCGGAAAGTCAAAACATGACTGCCCTGACTACTCTGAACAGATCGGATCAACGAATCTAAGGACAACCAACGTACTATCGAGAGATACCATTCGACTATCCAGAGATCCTTCAGATTCCGATAGGAACATTATCGCGAACGTTAGTGAACGCTTGAACGATGTGGTAATTTGACGGTCGGATACTTTTTATAAATATTTTACTTCGTCTGAAAGAAGCGTTTTATATTTTGTTTGATAATTATAAGTCGAAATATTTTTCATGCATGTACATGGCCATTCCTTTCACAGAAGTTGATGTGCCAGCATTGATTTTGTATTCACTGGTATAAGATTTTTCGTCATCATTCGAATAGAAACTTAACGAAGATGCATAATTTTTTTACGAAACGATGTTACAAATAAACCTTGATGTTGTACAGATGTTGTCTTTGAAGTTGTACAGAGTGTTTCACAGCGCTGAGGATCCACTTCTGAAAAAGAAATCAGCTTTGCGACGCGTCACCATCGTAGTTTAGAATTACAATGTTCACCCGGTAGGCGCCCTGTGCGTACGTCGTCGTGCGTAGTTAAATTGCATGCCAACACTGATACTAACAGACGTGCTAAAATTTTCAACTTTCAAAACCTTTACGATCAGTGTCACACATTACCTGCTACTATGTATATGTTTACAGGAATATACAGGGTATAATACAGGGTAATATACATAGTAATCAACTAAAAAAGAAATAAAAAATAAAAAATATCTTCGATCGCGATGTCAATCATGTATTGTCAACAACGGTTATTAATACATTTCGAAATGTATTAATAAACACAGCTTACATAAACACACGGCATGTGCTGATCTATTCAAGCCCTGTCTCTTATACACATCTAGATGTGTATAAGAGACAGGGCTTGAATAGATCAGCACATGCCGTGTGTTTATGTAAGCTGTGTTTATTAATACATTTCGAAATGTATTAATAAACACAGCTTACATAAACACACGGCATGTGCTGATCTATTCAAGCCCTGTCTCTTATACACATCTAGATGTGTATAAGAGACAGGGCTTGAATAGATCAGCACATGCCGTGTGTTTATGTAAGCTGTGTTTATTAATACATTTCGAAATGTATTAATAAACACAGCTTACATAAACACACGGCATGTGCTGATCTATTCAAGCCCTGTCTCTTATACACATCTAGATGTGTATAAGAGACAGGGCTTGAATAGATCAGCACATGCCGTGTGTTTATGTAAGCTGTGTTTATTAATACATTTCGAAATGTATTAATAAACACAGCTTACATAAACACACGGCATGTGCTGATCTATTCAAGCCCTGTCTCTTATACACATCTAGATGTGTATAAGAGACAGGGCTTGAATAGATCAGCACATGCCGTGTGTTTATGTAAGCTGTGTTTATTAATACATTTCGAAATGTATTAATAAACACAGCTTACATAAACACACGGCATGTGCTGATCTATTCAAGCCCTGTCTCTTATACACATCTAGATGTGTATAAGAGACAGGGCTTGAATAGATCAGCACATGCCGTGTGTTTATGTAAGCTGTGTTTATTAATACATTTCGAAATGTATTAATAAACACAGCTTACATAAACACACGGCATGTGCTGATCTATTCAAGCCCTGTCTCTTATACACATCTAGATGTGTATAAGAGACAGGGCTTGAATAGATCAGCACATGCCGTGTGTTTATGTAAGCTGTGTTTATTAATACATTTCGAAATGTATTAATAAACACAGCTTACATAAACACACGGCATGTGCTGATCTATTCAAGCCAATGCTCGCAGTAACAGCAAGTTGATTACTATTCCTATCCTGAATTTTTGTTATAACTTCTTAATAAAGCTCTATATGACCTATGTTTACATAACATTTTTTTCTTACTTTGTGCCATAGCATACACTAACAAAGTTTGAACATTAAAACCTGGAACACCCTGTATAAATGTTCTTAACAATAAACAGACTCTAAGGAACAGTTTGGAACTTTCCACTTGAAAAGTGATACAGCAGAACCCCGGTTATTGGAACAGTTATTATGTGACCTCTCTATTATCCGTAATTCTATTATCCGAACCGTACATTCCGTGATATATATTACATTTGACGCGTCTGAAAGTATATATAGATAATAATTAAGGAAATAAAAAAAATGGAGAGCCTGCCTCAAAGTTAACAGAAGCATACGGTATCGGTAAATCAACTATTACTGATACAAAAACAACGAACACTCAATTTAAAATTATTTGCAGAATGTTGCTTAATTAGATACTTGTTCGTCACGTAAGTGTTTGAAACCGTGAAAAAATAATGATCTTGATGTTATCCTTTCAACAATGCAGAGTCAAAGAAATACCTATACCACATGCGAGAAAGTTTTAGATTTTAATGAGAAAATACAAGGAAATCCTAATTTTCAAGCTAACATTGGTTGATTATGAGGCTGGCTTGAATCAAACCGGAATATATGGATCAGCAACAAAACGTGTATCTTTAGTACAGAAAGATAGTAACTAGATATACTAGATATATTTAATACATCAGTACAAAAATGAATGTTTAAGCTTTCATCATGAAATATCTATTTTTACCATGTTGTTCATTAAATGTTGACGGCGAAAATATAAATAATTTATATATCTCGTCGTCTAATTTCTAATGACAAAATTTCAAATACAATTTATCAGCAAGAATTTTTAATATGAAATATATTTAATCACTTTCTTAAACATTTTCAATCATCAAAATTAACATTAACATTTCTCGATAACTACAAAATACTTTATACGACTATATAAACTTATTATAAATAGTGTATACAATAAATGTGTATATATAATAAAATATATAATAATATAAATTAATACAATAACTATGTCTCCGACGTAACGTTGTGGCACGGAATTAATCATAACGTATTTCCATGTTTCACCCATAGATTTTTAATATTGCTCGATTAGTTTCGTTTTTTTGACCCAATATTTCGTTATCATTATCAAAGAATTAATTACTTTCGTTCAAAATCTTATGTGAGACTATGTCTCAAGTATTTAAAATAAAATAGCTGCTTAAAGACAATTTATCCAAACGAAGTATGAAATAAAATTACTTTCCCCTACGTTATCCACATAAATTAAAGATAATAAATTATTTGACATCATTCCTGATTTCGAACGATTACTTGTTATCGTCCTATCCGAAATCAAATTAACCCAATCCTGTTTCATATGTTCCGTATATGTCCGATATTGTGAATTTTGAATGACCGGAATGGTATCCTTGAAACCTGCGCGATTTCAATGCCCATATCTTTCCGCGGCACTTTAGGCCTATTAATTTATTTTTCTCGTCGTGCCATGGTGGTCACACGTGGAACACGATTAATAATTGGCAGAAGAAAGTTGAAAGTGTGCAGGCAAGAGAAGCGGAAGAAAGGCAGAGGCCGCGATGAAAACGAGACTACGCGTGGTAAGCAAATTTAGATTTAATAAGACGCAATCTCTTAAGGCTTCGCAAAATTGAAAGATTTTTCTTCGTGATGTAATGGTTTGTTCGCTTTAACGCAACGCCCGAGAGGCCCCGTTGAAAAATTCTTCTGTGGTGAAATTCCATGATTCTCGGTTCGTAAACCCGGTGAAATGAACACATATTCATTAGTCATTATCAAAAGTAATAAAAAGAACATTCGTACGGATTTGAAGACGTTTCCCACGAAAATTCTTTATTACCTAACAATTAAAGATAGCAAAAATCGTGAAAATATTTCACAATTTTCAACCAATAGCTGTAAGAAGTTTGAAGATATTTACATGTTCCCATGCTTGTAGCTTATAACAATGTTAACCAACGTTAACATCATTTTCTATTCTTTTTTTGTCACTCCAACCAAATGCAATTTTTGTAAACTTGTTCACACTAATTGTCTAGTAAATTAGTCAGTTTAACATCTCAAAATATTGGTCCAAAATTTGGTTCAATTTTAACACTAAACCTACCGAGGACTAAAAGTGACCGATACGTGTTACTTCATACAAATGAAAAGACATTTAAGCATGAATTAATTACTTTGTTCAATCATTTCCTGTGATAGAATCTTTATTATGTCAACAGTTTAGAAATAAAAACCAAGTTATAAACAATCTATGTTTATGAAACAAGTAATGGAGTTTTAAAAAGTGTCAAAATATTATCGTGTCTTGCTGTACATCATCTTGATCATTCAAAAATTTTGTGTTTAAAGATGTGTCATTTCCGTTGCAAGTGACAAATCGTTTTCGGAAATGCAATAAACGATATAGTTACGTTGAAAGAGTTGTTTGAATTTTAAATACAGATTTCACGCAGAAAAGGCACGGAAGTTTCATTCGTTTCGCTTGATTTCAATCAACGCTGACTGATGAGGTCCCCTGATTTCGAGGCCCGTAAAAATCCTATAAAAGGTTGCACCAATAAATAAAATAATTCTTAGATCGTTCTCTCCATATCGGTGCACGCCGCTGTTTCTGTCCTGCTGCACACGCTGGTGGAATAATAATCGTTTCGTTAATGTTTCTTCAGTTTTCTCGTGCATGGCGTTATTATGGCACGGGGACGCTCCACGACGTGGTGGCGGAATTATTATGCGTAACATGCGCGATTATGCCACCACGGTAAAAGTGAAATCGCGACGAAAATTCACCGTCTTGATTCGCGCAGGATCGAATCGATTCTTCGTGGCAGCTTCAAGAGTGCTTGTCAAAATTTTGGAGCATCGACTGCAATCAAATTCTATTAGATCGTAAGCTTATGAGACATCAGGATATTCCACGGATCATAGAATTTGTTTTAAATAAATATTTCGCGTTTCAATAATGACCACTTTGTTATTATTAAGAAATTTGTTATTGTTAACAATCTTCCTGCTTATGACACAAAAGGAAACGGCTACGAAAAATTGCCAAAATAGCTTTCTTAATGTTCTTTATACATATACATATCATGTCATGTATATTCAACAAATATTTTTTAATTAGTAAGTTATATAAAAATACACACATATGTTGAAGTACTAAAAAACGTAATGTAATTTTAGACAGCTTTTTTCATAGACAGCTCATAACTCAAACACTTATCATAATTTAACAAGAAATGAAAGTTAATCATTACTCAATTATCTATTAATTCCAATACACAGAATTTAGAAAAGAAATTTTTCAATGAGGAAGTTTAGTAATATGTATACTATTTCGAAATATAGTATAATAATTTTTATTGGTGTGTCATCTTAGTGCAAAAAGTTATACACAGTATACAGTGTGCTTTGGCTAATTTAAGTCACTTAATTATGAGATTGACAGAAAAGTTATACCTATTTTAGTATGATGTTTCTTGATCT